TTCTCTTTCTCCACCCACCCACCCCAACCTTTACACACCCCTCAGCCTAGCCCAGTCCCCGCAAAGGAAACTGGAGTCCCTTTGCAAAATTGAAAGGCTCCAGAGAACAACATGGGAGGGGACAGGGGTCTTGCTCAAAAGTCAAGAATCACAATACAATTATTTTATTTTCACAGCCAGAAGAAGTCTTAGCTGTTTCTTCTCCAAGAAGGGGGGATAATAATCCTAAAGAAAGCAATACAAATCTCACTAAAGCCTTCATCAAATAAAGTGAACAAAGCAGTAGAAGCTAATCCCTAGCCCCCTACCCCCCCATCAACAAATTAACACAAACTCTCCACTCCTCCCTAAGGAACTCCAAAGGTCCTGGCCTACCAACTTTAATAATAAAAATGACAACTAACACCATTTAGCAACAATAAGCATTTCATAACAAGCATTTAATTCAGTGTTCATTCTGTGCCAGGCACTGTGCTAAGTGCTGTGTATAAATTATCTCATTTTTATCCTTCCCATTGCCTAGAAGGTAGGTACTGTATTGATATTTAAATTTTTCAAGCTAAGAATATAAGGCTCAGAAGTTGAGACCTTCTCAAGATCCTATAGCCACTAAGTGGCAGAGCTGGGAATGGAATGAAGTCTGATCTGACAGCCCAAGCTCTAAGGCACATAAAAATAGAAAACAATTTTCCCCAATACTATAACCAACCCCAAGACTTAATAGAGAAGGGCAGCCATAGCTATCAACTGAGTCCTCCTCCCTCAAGAGATTCACCCACATACACAGGATAAATGCACTGAGTTTTCAGACTCATACTGTTTCTTGGCCCTTCTCACTGAAGGGGTGGGGGGTGGGGTACCACTAAGGTCAGAGATGAGCTGGTGTCCAGTGACTTCCCCATACCACACACAGCTCTTCTCCTGGGGGTAGCTATCTTGCCACCACTCTCACTTCAACACAAAGTGAACACGGAGCTATAGGGCACTTGGCAATGCAGCAGGTGGGAAAGTAAAGACACCTGGGAGGCTCTTTCAAAGGGGAGGGGGTTTGCAGGGATAGCTCTTCTGTGCCAATCTAGAGAAAAGCAACCCAGAGTTCTCTGAGCTCAGCAAAAGTGTAGTCTTTCCGTCACATCACACCCGTGCCCCTCCCCCTCACAAAACTCCAGGCCAGGGTTTCCCACCCACAGGATGCTAGGGCCATGGTAAGGGAGAGGGGGAAAAGATGGCACGGTGGTGGAGCTGTGGAGCTGGACTCGGGGCAGAGGGGGTGGGGGTGGGGGCTGGAATGGAAAGGGGAGGAGGCCTCATTGCCTGGCAACCAGTCCGGGGCACGTGCACTGGTGACTTCATCCCAGGCCACCTGTATCTAACACACACCTTTGACCCCTAGGAGAGGAGAGGAGCCGCTAGCTAAGCTTCCTGGGAAATAGCTTTAGGAATTCTGGAAACCCAAAAAGGAGGAAGGAAGGTGGGACCAGGACGATGGCATTCAGCTTCTGCCTTTATCTCTTTTACCCCCAATAAGGCTCCAACCCCAGGGACTCGGGCCTCTTGGCTCCACCTCTCCGCCTCCAGCCCTGACCTCCCAACCCACATTTCTGACGGAGTCCCAACACGCCTCTCCGAGATACTGCGCCTTCTCTTTGCTAGGCGAGATCTCGGGTGGGAGGCGGCAGGTATGGGGCGGGGGCATTGGGTCCCGCGGGATTTCGTCTCCCATCTGTGGGATCCCGCGTGCCCCTGCCTACCGCCAGTCGGAATCTGTCTGGGTCCCCAACTCTCCTGCCCCTCCCCACGCTGTTCCAGGGCGGAGTCTGTGGAGTTGAAACCAGGACACGGCTAGAGGAAGAGTTATATAACCCGGAGAAGCCAGGAAGGACAAGTGGAGACGGGCACAGAGAGCTTGAAAGAAGCCGAGGGAGGTGCAGTGAGCACCAGGGCGAGTAGAGAAGAAACATTAGGGATGGGAAGGATTTTGGTGCACATCAAAGAAGAATTCACGCGAAGAAGGGGCGTGATAGCCCGGGAAATGTCACTAGGGCTGTCCAGAGCTTCCCCGCAGCGCCCTCCCCCGCCACCAACAGCAGCTGGGCCCGAGCGAGTGAAGCCTCGGGAAGGGGCGCTGGTACCCGTTCCGTTCCTCTTCAGGAGACAACCTGAGCCAGAGCCGGGGAAGGCAGCGGCGGAGCATATGGGGCCGGAAACCACAGCTCCGCCCAGCCCACCTGGGAGAGTGGGGCGCCAGCAGCAGAGGTGGGAGGGTGATGAGAAACAGGTAGCCGGCTCATTCCACCAAAGGTTGGGCATTAATGGTTCGAGAACTCGCCAAAGGGCAGGCGGATCCAGACGTTTGGGTCCCAAGGGGCTGAGAAGCACAGCCTAGGACTAGTTTGCAAAAACGGACTCAAGATGGGGGGTTGGGGCGGCGAGCGCCAACTTGCGGCGCAGGCGTAGCGGTGGGGGATTCGGGAGCTTGCAGCAGAGGGAGGGGCGGTGGGCGCGAGCGTGTGGGAGTGCACGTGCGGGTCCCCCGCAGCTACCCCTTTCCTCCACCTCTGCCCCTCCCTTCTCCCTCTTCCTGTAGCTCTGTAATGCCTCCTCCACATTGGCTGCCAGGGCCCTGATGTCAGAGACGTCAGCTGGAGCGGATTGGGCGGATGCGAGTTCGAGAATCCGGCTCCCGAGTCTAGCTCTCCAGTTACTCTGGCAACAGGGCAAGCAACCCCCGGGGAAAAGAGGAGCGAAGCTTAGCGCTGCACCAGGGTCTTGCCTCCCTCCAAACCACAGCTGAATCCGTTTCGGTGGCAGCTCGCTGCCTCCTTCCTCCCAGGTTCTCCCTGTCCCAAGAACCAGGTGTCTTGCCTTCGACCTTCCCCAGTCTTCCAGCTCCCACACTCGCCAACTCCCACCCCAAGTGACAGCCACAAGCCACATTAAATTGGAAGCGAATCTGAGTTGCTTAGTAACCAACCCGCAGGTCCCTTCCCCTCTATTTACCCCAGCCTGCGAAGGCGGAGACTGAGTCCCCAGTCCCCTCCCCATCCTATTCCCTTTGCCCTCCCGCCCACAATTTCCTGTAAGAGGCCGAGATGACAGGAAGCCGAAAGAGCACCTCAACCCACCTTTCCCTCCCGCCTGGGCGAGGGGCTTCGGCAGCTTTCACGGCCCTATTTCCCACTTCACTTCCCTCAGCTCAGGCTGCGCGTCTCGCCCACGCCATCTCGTGGCTACGTCCGGAAGGTTCAGCACCAACAAGGGCCCCAGCCCGGCAAGGATTAGGAATGGGAGAGGGCAGAGTGGGGCAGGATCAGAGATGAGGAGACAAGCGGGGTGAGGCCGAGTGAACGGAGATGAGGTGCGGGGAAGTGAATGGGGCGAAGGCCACCGCACGGAGGCTATTGGGACTCTTGGTGTGAGGATCAGGGCTGACGCTATACTCCTCACCCGTGGGAAGTACTGAAGGGAAACTCGAAGTGGTCCCGGGACTGGAGACACATCCCTGCATGACCACGTACTGGCCAACGCACAGATCTATGCAAACTGTGACCTTTTAGTCCTGCCCTTTAGTTAGGGACCGCCGTGCCCCGCCCTGCCCTAGTGTTGAGAAGGGGAATCCCAGCCCACGGCAGACTGGGAGTCCTTTCAGGGCCCTCTTGACATCTGGAATCCAAGCCATCCGCCTCCCAGCTCTTCCCTCCCCCTCATCCTGCTCTCTTCTAGGGGATCCAGTCTCCTGCGCCTATCTTCTTCCCAGTGCCTTTGCGGAGACCCAAACGTCCATCCCCAGCTCTACTACTGCGACTCAGGCGTCCCGCCCCCCAGAGCGAAGATGGTTTCCCTCTTTCCAGACGCCCTCGCGGGTCCCCGTTACCTGATTCTAGGGCGTCTCAGGTATTCAGGTTCCCCAAGTTCTCTCAGGGGGTCGAGCGGCCCCCCCCTCTCCCAGGCCGGGGCTGGGGGGGGCCGCTCCGCCCCGTGGCGCAGTCGGATTTTCCAACACAAACACCGCCCCCCCTCCCCAGTCCCGCCCCTTTCTCGTGGTCCCGCCCCTCCTCGCGCCAAAGTCCTCCCTCTCGGGCCCCGCCCCGCCTTCTGCCCGTCCCTCTTGCCTCAGCACGGATGCCGAATAGAATACCTAATGTGGGTTTTGGAGTTCGGTGGTGCAACGTACTGGGTCCAGCTCCAATCCCTGTCTAATAAACTCCTATTCCATTTGGATCACGCGCCTTTACAAAGTAAGCCCCGCCCCCTATTCCAGTCCTGCGTGGAAACTTAACCACACCCTCTTTAGGCCCCACCATCCA